CTGGGTTCTTTTGTGACTAAAATGCGTCTCTGTTTTGTTTCACACGGCGTCGCCGCTGCTCAGCTCCACCCACTTGTACAGGCTCATCGCCGTCTGCCGAGGCCTTCTGATCGTGGTTTCAGACATACATCTAAATCCTAAAATGAGTTAGTGTGCATGTCATCGGCTAAGTCACAGATTGAGATGAGACTTCCCACTATCCAATCACATGCTGAGACTGTTGTTTCTGAGATAGGCTCCACCCCCCTGAGAAGGAACTGGATGAACACGTTAACCTTACTGCAGTTTACTGAGTGCAGATAAACATGTGAGCTCGTTTCAGTGTGAACGCTGTGTCTGCTTCTAAGATCTGCCATCTATAACAACAAGCAATAATGATGATGATAAAAGTGTTTTCAGAGCTCTCCCCTCACACTGACCGCCTCCTTTAGTCTGTTCGTGTCTCAGCAGCTGTTAAACGTGTGTTAATGACCTCACTGCGCTAGTGGATCGTTTCACCTGAGGATCATCTGGATCATCTCAAACTGACTGTTTCTTCTGTGTGTCTGCTCACACCGTGGTAACGACTCAGAGCCTAGCTGATGCTGCAGCATCAGGCCTCTTCCTGTTATCACACACTTCCTGTGCAGTGGATCGTCCTCGGGGCGCAGGTTAAGCATGCCCACCCCAAGAATTTGGCTATCGGGCAAATGTTGGAGTCGAGGATGCTATCCTCCACCTGTTTCACCTCGATAAGAAAGCAGCACAGTCAGGATCCTCCTCCTGGACCCTGCCCGGTGACCTGGATTGGCAGCTGCCTCACAGAGACCAGGACATCCAGTCTGGGCGGCAGCACTGCTGCACCGCAGGGCAGTACATCCAAACAGGAGTCCGGGCTGGAGAAGCTGGACTCATGCTGCTGAACATCATGGACGATGTCAGATATTTACGTTCTAGAATCGATGCTCTTATTGAAATATCAGCATTTTAGTAATTTGGGGTGAATTTGAATTTAATCGTTAAGAGGAACTTAAGAGGAACTTTATTGTGAAAAATACTTCTTCTTCCACCTGTCACAGTGATATGCAACATAAGGCTGCATAGATGCGCCACGGCTCACCTGAGCTGACTGACATTAGATAATATGTGATCGTAAGCAGCCGAGGTGGTTTGTGGCACATGTGGCAGGAAAAGTAAATCATGACACAGAACATGAAGAGTTTATGACAGGTGCTGCTGGGCGGAGTCCTGTGGAGCTGCAGGCAGGTACTAAATGTGGAGCTGTTGGTGGCGTGCAGCACTGTTGATGAATTTTGGAAAATGACTCCGGTCTAGGCTTCAGTGTTTGCGCCTGTGTTTAAATCACGGGAATTCCTGCATCCTTAATCTTCGTGAATAAATATGTTTATGAAATAAAATCGTGCTACAAAAATGAGCTGAAGGAGTTTAGCTTGGAGTGATATCTGTCCCTGAGACTCAGCCACTGTAGGCTTCCTGAGTAAGACAGATAGATAATAACATCCATCTTCTTCCGTTTATCCGGGGCCAGGAGGCGGAGGCAGCACCATCCGTCACTCATAAACGTGACTCCTGCACCTGGAGCAGGAACAACGGAAACGAAGTGCATCTGCTTTTCTCAGCTGTCGTGTTATTTTCAGTCACATTTGTTTTTGATGGCTGACTGAATATTTTCAAATGTAGATTTTTACATCATGTTTGATAAACGTTCATAAATACGCAATAAGAATAAGCAGTGTGATGCTTGTATTTATTATGAAGGAGTCATTTGAAACACACCAGTAACACCAGCTGGAGGAACAGCCTAACAGCCTGATCAGGCTGGCTCCTCCTCCTCCTCAGGAGCAGGAGCCTCTTCCTTTGTACCTCGAGACAGCCAACTGTACAACTCGGAGAGACGTGGAGGAGAGGCAGGAGGGGTGGAGGATGGACGACATCAACCCGGTAAAAAAAACAAACACACGTGAACCGTTTTCCTGAGGGGACCTCTCCGAGGGCTTAAAGCACTATTCTATTCTTTTCTATTGTATATGACCTCATCTTCGTCAGGTCAGCCATCGCCATGACTACCATCATCATATCATTTCATCATCATCAGCTATGACAGAAAAAAACCCAAATTTGGCATAACTAAAGTCACCGTTTTCCCATTAGTCCTCAGTGCTCTCTCACCCTGCTGGATACGCCACCAGTCCACTCCGGGGGTCACAGGCCAGCGCTCGGTTCCCCGGTGCTGTGATTCCCAGAACCTTCTCCAAGGTCACCTGAAGGGCAAAGGCCAGAACGTGACAGGTTAACTCCTGCGAATGTGTTCGTGTTGATCTTTCTTTCACAGGAGTGACAGCGCCGCGAGCGGCAGGCCCCACCTGCTGATTTAAACACTACAGCTCACATGATGCTTTGGGACACACACAAAGCTGTTTCTGTTCACAACAAAAGCAGCACTGCTCTGCAGAGAGCCTTCAGTGATCAGATTATTGATCAGATCACTGACAGACTGAAATTAAGCAGGTCAGAGGTCAGAGAGGAGCGCCAGCGTCAACGCACAGAGACCGAGTCTCTCTCTCTCTCTCAAACACACACACTTACTTCTGCCTCCATGCTGCCAGAAAATGTCCTGCTGCTCAGTCTGACTGCTGAGCGGCCAGATGCTAAACTAACAGCACAGAGAGAGAGAGAGAGAGAGAGAGAGAGAGAGAGAGAGAGAGAGAGAGAGAGTGAGTGAGTGAGTGTGTGTGTCCTCCTCACATGACTCCCCTCCCCCTGCACCAAACTATTCATGATTTCACAGTTTTTGGCCCTCTCAGCTCAGCACGAACGCTTTCCTCCAAACCGTCCAATCAGATTAAAAGAAACCACGAGGATGAATCATCAGGCGAGTCTGCAGGAGGCCGCTCGCCGGGCAAGTAGCAAGTGATTTTCTTTGCCTCTGAATGGCGATTCAGGAGAAACTACTCAGGAACAGTGAGACGCTGCGTCAGTCGTCAGAGACGTGACGAGCTTGCCGACAGGAAAGGCTCGCATCCGAGTGGCTCAAAGGTGCCACGGTCTTTCGGTTTGAGCTCATATTGTTTTAATGTGTAATTTCAGTTTATCTACAACTGCTTCTCACTCCTGCCTGTGCTCAGAAACTTTTAGTCTTCCATTAAACGCCATGGATGTGCGTGTATCCATCCAGTAAACTTTACTGCTGACACTAATAAGCCTCTGAAAGGGCCGCTGAGCTCAGCCTGGACACCACTGCATTAACACGACATGATTCTAATGTGAAGCCCAAACTGGGCTGCAATGTCCCCATAACAAAGATCGTCTCCAAGGAGCACAAACAGCCTCACTGCTGAGTCTCTGCTCTCCATTTCAATGGGGACAAACGGCAAAGTCCCCACAATGCAGTTGTGTGAACAAGTATGCGTTCCCACAACATGACCAGAACAGGTGGGGCGTGTCCCAGTAAATCAGCAGGCACACAAAGGATTGTGGGAAGTGAAGCTGCTAATAGATGAAGGGGCCCGCAGGTGATAGACCAGCTGGACGGGACAGACAGGTTCTCACAATGCGAGCGTCCGCACAAGTCTACAGCACAAATCTTTTGATTCAGGATGGTTTGGTGCACAAAAATGCTTTCAGACAGCAAGGACCATATTTACAAAGGAGGAGGAGGAGGAGGCACTTTGAACCAAAGACTGCTCCATACAGTGAGAACAAAGTGAGGATATCTGCAGAAACAGAGAGCCTGTTTAGCACAGTGTTTGGCATCTGAGAACAAAATGAGGACCAGTCAAAGGTCTTTATGAGGACCATCAGAGGAAAGGTCATCAGGGAGGGTCCTTATTTTCCACACAGACCAGTTCAGGTGTGTGTTTTGCACCGATAACAGCAATGATGAGAAAATAAAAATGTTGAATTTTAAACAATCAATTTTAAAAAATTCAATAAAAACAGACGACAGCTAATGTCAGTTAGAATAAGCTCTATTTATCAGTTAGAAACAATTAAACAATAAAACCACCAGACTGCAGCAGAAACACAATAGGTTCCGTGTGTGTGTCAGTCGCGCGCACCTTGTCGCTGAGCTCGCGCCTGTGCCGCGCGCCGGTGCCGCTCCGCCGCAGTTTGATGGACGGGGAGCGCAGCAGGCTCCTGATGCGGCTGCGGATCGTTCCGTCCGCGGCCATCGCGCCGTTAGCCGCCGGCTAGCTGCGGCTCTCAGCGGCTGCTCTGCGCCGCCATGCCTTCAGAGCCGGGCCGGACCGGGTGTTCCGTGAGCACGGTCCTGGTTCGGTTCTGCGCTGTTCCGGGCCGCCGTTCCGCATCGTAGTCCTCCCCCGCAGCGAGGAAACGGGACGACCGGGACCGGACTGATCTGAGCGGCGATCCGTTAGTGTCAATGCCGCACGCGACACCCGCACTTCCGGTCACACCTTTCAAAATAAACACGTTCTCTCAAATAATTTAGACGCTACAGTCCAATCACAGCTGTTATCATTAGCTCCTTTAGCTTGGACATTACTTCGGATTTAACACAGCAATGCCTCAAAAGCAAGATTTACTGATCACTTTTATTGACATGAAACAAGATTTTTCTTCCGAAAGTTGTTTTTTTCTTAAGATGCGATGCTTTTACTTTGACAGTCATCGTCCGGTGTCGCGTGTCAGAAGTCTGATGACGCGTCTTCACTGTTAGCGCAGAGCATAAGCGCCTCTCAGCGGCACCGGACACTAACCGCAGCTTCTTTTTTTCTATATTAGCCATAACTTACCTGTAATGACGCCATAAAAATCGATGGTGAGCCAAAATAAATCAAACACTTTAAATCAGAAACTCAAAACAACTCATCTGGATAGAAACTTTTTTTTTACTGATTATTTATTTTTCCTCGTTTGCTGGATGATGTGTTCAGGTACTCTGAATCAGAAAACTCAGCTTTAACTTGAAAGTTTCAGGTGAGAAACTCATCAAACACACCGGGGAACCTTTTGTTGAATAAAAGTAGGATGCAGACTCAAATATTTAACTTTTATTGGTACCTGTTTTCCTTCCAGCTGTTAGGACAGCTGAGGTAAACATGTAGAAAAAGTCATTAAGAAAAAGAAAAGGTGAGTCCAGGTGAGTTCCCTGTGATGACTGTGTTTTTCCTGCAAAACATGAAGAAACTGAAACATTCCACCATGGTGAGACACTGACAGCTTTCACAAAGTTCCTGTAAATAAAAAAATAAAAGCAGGAAACAATAGCTGGACCTTCAGAATAAAGTATGAACGTTTGGAGGCGAGTAGCCCGAATGCGCTCTCTTTGTGACGTGGACGCCACTCTCAGACATGAACTTGCAACCTGTGAAGGCGTCTCTCGGCTCACCTGGCGCCGATACAAACAGGAAGACATTTGAACGCAACATCAGAACATTCTGTGGGGACAGCACTTCTTCCTCAGCACGCCATCAAGTTTCTCTGAATGCAGCCACTGAAAACAGGATGCTACAGTAACTCTTTCAAAGACAGATGTGACAGGTTCAACAGACATTTTTAAAAACTGAAATCCCCAGTATCTTGGCTGCGAGGAAGAGGGGCGGGTCAGACCATGAAACCGCTCACTCACTGGATAACACAGTGACTGACGAGTCATTAGCCAATGAGCAATCAACAAAACACCACAGCTGATCCTCCATTTTGAAAGACATGATTGAGATACATGAACTCAGCATGAAGCGTGTACAGAGGTCAGAGGTCAGAGCAGCGGCGTGCTGCAGACTTCTATAGGACAGAACTGCAGTGTTGCCCCCTGGTGGCTGTCAGGTAGAACGCAGGTTTAAGGCACTTCCATATTTTTCAGAAGCAGCGTCTGCGTTTTTTCCGGTCAGCGCGTCGGAAAACCAGGACACCGTCGCCCTGTTCCAAACCAATCAATACCTGAATATTGATCCTTAGTAATCCACAAACGATAACTGATTGTTACCATGGAAGCGCCACAATCAGTCTATGCTTTTCTTTTTTTCCTCCCAATGTGCCGACTCCCATCAGGACCCAACCAGGAAGGTGCAGCTGCTGTGACATCGTTATTTCTGCGTGTGATGTCAGCTGGGGGCGTTTCCTCTTAATCCCAGAGGAACCAGCCTCGGCATCGGCCTCCAGGCCACGCCCCTGTGCCCTTGCCCCTCTTCTCCCCCTGCCACTGTGCCCTCTCTTTCCCTGTTGCCTGGGCTTGCCACTTTGGCTCCGCCCACCTTCATCTGCAGCAGAGGGGGCGGGGCCAGCACGCCTCCTTTAGGACTGCCTGAAGTGGTCAACATCGTTTCTGTATTGAGGTTAGGCCCAACCCCATCTGTGTCAGAGTCTGAGTCCAGCTGCAGCATCCAGGGGCTGTGGGTGTGTCCTTCCTCGTCAGCTCCATCCACCGCTGCAGCGTCCTGGTTTTTTTCCACCTGCTGATTAAGGAAGACAAACTCATCGAGGAGCGACGGCAGGCTCTTGTTCTCGCCCCTGCTCTCAGGCTTCGCCTCTCTCTCCTCTGTTTGGCTGTCAGAGCCGCAATACGACCAGGATGCAGGTGTGACCTCACTGAGGGGTGGAGTCTGGTCCTGGTGTATGATTCGATCTGAGGACTTAGATGATGCATCGCAGACCTCTAGAGAAGGAGCCGGAAGACCAGGGAGCAGCTGATGGGTTGGAGGCGGAGCCTGCTGTTGTGTGTTGGTCTGAATGAGTTTCAGCACCCCGCTCAGGCTGGAGCCTGGAAGAGTAAACAGATGATCAGCTGATCGGCCAAACAACCAATCATATGCCGTTACAATAACAATGTTTTTGTATTTCTCGGAGGGTTTTTTTGGTTTAATTTGTCCATCTGATAGATGCTAATGAGTCCGACCCGGAAGGAGGAGGAGCTTACCAATGCTGTGTGAATGTGGGTGGAGCTGAGAGAGAGAAAAAAGTGTGAGCTAGGCGCAAAGGGCAGCGGTTCACGGTAAGCTGTCCTGCTTCCTGTTATGAGATATTCGGAGCGAAGCTTTGCGGACTGTACGCGTCGTCACGGCAAGATCAGAGCTGTTGGACAGGTCGCCGCTATCGTCCTCTTAGCGCCGTTGCTGAGTGATTCAAGGTGAATTTTTCACACTCGTGTTTAAAACCTGGGTGACTGAACTTCTCTTCACGCCGTCTTTCACAGATACGAACAGGCGGCGCCTGCACAACCGCTCATTAGACGCACCTGCTGTATAAATGATATCCAAGAATGTTTGTTTGGCCTCGAGGACAAATAAAACCGAGGAGGAGAGTGTTGGTTACCTGTCAGGTTGGTGACGGCGAGAGGCCTGGCCGGTGGGCAGAGCAGTGGGGTGAGATGGATCTGCTGACTGGTCAGAGTGGGAATGTTTAGGGTGACTGAGGCCAAGCCTACACACAAAACAGAAACATCTGAGTTTCTAAATAAAAGCACAGCCAACCAGAGAGCGTTCAGGCTCCACGTGTCAGTACCTGGAGACGGCGCCGGCTGCAGCACCATTGAACCCGCTCTCACAGCATTCAGGGTCAGGACTGGTTGCCTGGGTAACGGTGCCCCAACCACAGAGAGAAGATCAGCTGGAACGAGACTCTGAAAGGACGACGGGTCACCTGGAGGATTACCTGGGCGAACAGGTGAAGGAAAACAGGAAGTTTAATCTGAAAACTTAAAAAACAAACTAATTAGTTTTAATCTGCAACGATCTGTCGAGTCTTTGCTTCAATGCTTTGTTGTGACGGTGACCTCATCACTCGGGTCACTCACACAGACTCTCCACTGGGGGCTTTCCTCTTGTCTGCTCCTGCACAGCCGCGTGCAGCACCCATAATTTTGTTGTACATGTACAACGACAATAAAGGATATTCTATTCTATTCTATTGAATAGATCAGCCGACAGCAGCCACCCTGTTTACATGGAGTCAGCACCCCCGGGTGAGACTCACCTTTTCTTAATGCAGCCGTTCGCAGGACGAATTTATGGTACCGTATTTACCGCACTATAAGGCGTAGGTAAAAGCCTTGAATCTTCACAAAAATCGACAGTGCACCTTATGTATGAGTTTTGGTTTGTGCTTACTGACCTCGAACCGATTTTATGGCTACACGATGCTCAAAAATCTGTCAAAATAAATAAATAAAAATGTAGTGCCACTTCTCAGAGCGTTACGGTTACCGTTGCCAGGAGCCTTGCAGAGTAATACGTACTGTGCTTCAACTCAACATTACCCTGTTGTGTGTGTACAACGACTTCAAAATGGCACCAGCGAAGAGACACGCTTACGAAGCAGATTTTAAACTCCGAGCAATCAGAGTAGAAAATGAAAATAGAGCAGCTGCGAGACAATTCGGCATTATTGAGTCGATGGTGTGCAAGTGGAGGAAGCAAGAAGATGACCTAGAACAAGAGGAGTTTCTGAGGGAACACGGCACGATGGCCGCAGGTAGAGGACAAAACTGAACAGTGGGTTATTGGACAGAGAACAAATGGTAGATGGTCTGTATTTGTATAGCGCTTTACTTAGTCCCTAAAGACCACAAAGCACTTTACAGTCACATTCACAGCAGGTAGAAGTGTCTCTACAGTCTCTACACACTCAAGGCAACAGCGGTTTGTCTCAATGCGCCTTATAGTGCGGAAAATACGAACCAAGCTCGATTTTTCTGATGTTTCAGATAAACAGATCTGACCAATCACATCACTGCATTTGGCAGCGTGCTTATAGCTTAAATCGCACACTTGTACTGAATATGCAATGAAATCATAAAATAGCGTTTTACGTCAGACACGCAGCTGAGCGCTGATGTCGTCCCAGCTCAAACTGCCCGCCTGACATCCTGACACGTGTACGAGCGCGGCTGGACAATAAACCGTTCTCCTGACAACGGACGAACCCACAAACTGTTTCTTACTCGTCGCTTCGTGTCAGCAGCTCGTTGTTTTCCAGTCGGTTTGTTGAGGACGAACGCTCAGCGTTTATGTAGGTTACACTTCAGATCCGTAAAATCTCACGTTGTTTTTTTAACGCACCACGTTCGGCGTTTAAACGTGAAACAAGATAAAAACACTGTTTACTAAATTACGTTACTATTTAAAAATATAAAAATAGAAGCTTTTTCCACAAACCAATCACAATGACAGGAGCGACATCTGGGGCCCGTTCTTCGTACGTCGCTTACTACATCCAAGATCAAATGACACATCCAAGATCAAATCATCGCGCTAACCGTGAGCTCGCTAATCCGGTTCTCCGAACACACCTGCTGTTGACGATTAGTACAGCTGGATGAAGTAATGTGAGATCACTGGGTGTCGTAAAAGGGGCTACGCATCGATAGTAGAAACATTGATCGGCAACCCTCTGATTGGTCGGCGAAAATGTCGAAGGAGCGCGCTCGGTATTTTTCGGCAGCAGAGCAAGAACTCTTGAGTGAGGGATTTCAGGAGTTTCAGAGTTTAATCAGAACGCAAGGGAACACTGCAAAGGCTGCAAAAGCAAGGAGAGAGGGCTGGCAGAAAGTTGCTGACAAATTAAACTCGTAAGTAATTTAATAAAACAATAATAATGGAGTGGATTGATATAGCGCTTTTCAAGGCACCCAAAGCGCTTTACAATGCCACTATTCAGTCACTCTCACATTCACACACTGGTGGAGGCAGCTACGGTTGTAGCCACAGCTGCCCTGGGGCAGACTGACAGAAGCCAGGCTGCCATATCGCGCCATCGGCCCCTCTGGCCAACACCAGTAGGCGGTAGGGTAGATTTATTATATTACACTATATTATCCATATATTATATTACATTATATTATGTTATATTATATCCCCTTTCACATTAGAGCCACAACAGGACCCACTAGAACATGGGAACAAGTAAAAGTGAAATATAAGAATATTCTACAGAATGGTAATATTTATCACTTATATTGCTTTTCGTCTCTTGAAAGAGACCCTGAAATAATCTGTTCATGTGTTGTTCGTTTTATAACAGCAACCAAGAAAAGGGCAGAGCAAAAAAAGACAGGTGGTGGTCCTGCACCCCCTCGTCAACAAGTTGGTTAAGTAAATAATACCCTCACGGGAAAATCGATATCTCTCTATGAGCACACTGTCGCGCTGAGCTAAAGGATCCTGTCTGTCCCGCAATATACGCTGAATTCTGAAACTCTCCTTATCAATCTTGCACCTTCCGCAATGGGTGCTCGCGTATACGGACAGGACATGGCTGCGACAGGCTTCCCAAATCCACCTTCGCTTTTATAGCCGTGGTCTCTCATCTTGATTACACGAAGTAATTTGCAATTGCTACTCTGAAATATGAATTACATCTGTAATAATCACATACATGTGATAGAATGTTAATAGTACATTTCCCTTTATTAGGAAATGACCTGTATGTATCTGTCTGAAATCAATAACAGGATCAGGTGCTGCATTGTCTTTAGTTACATTGATAATATTTATTTATGGTGAAACAGTGGTAAAATATCGTTGTTGCTTTCATATAAATGACGCGGGCATACCTGCGTGGCCGCGATCTAACCCTGTTTACATAAAGTAAACCTGCTCCCGAGCAGGTTTACGCTTACGGCTCTGTTGCTATGACAGCAAGTCCCGGATGAGCTTCGGGGAACCGAACGATCCAGGATCACGCGAAATCGTCAACAATCTCATCCAGCTAACTTACTTAGCGAGGTACGAAGAACGGGCCCCAGGTCGGACACAGAAGCCTGCCTCCTGTTACCTGACCTCTGACTGTATCTTACATTATTCATTTTTCACATAAGAAAACATTTCCTTTAAAAAGTTAAACCTGAATATTTCACAAACACAATCACAGACATTTGCATTACTCAGTGGAATAATCCATCATTTCATTAGGAGCTCACAGGTCTTGGTCTCACCTTCTGCGGCCTTTGTGATCACAGATGGAGGCGGAGCCTGAGTCTTACTGCGAGACAGGATGTTCGGAATAGTCCTTGAACGCTTCGTGTCCACAGGTGCATTGTGGGCCGATGACACTTGGACAGGTGTAGGAGTGGGTGGGGCAGAAACAGAAGGAGGAGGGGCATCTGTGGACTTCTGTTGGGCTGCTGTTGTCGCGATAATGTTGTCGACCTCGTCACCTGCTCCACACCCATCGCTGCCCGCAGGTGGAGGAGCAGAAGTCCCGCCCCCTGCTGTGACCTGATTGGGTGCTTGCCGCCTCTCCTGCTCGGATGAAAACTGCTGCAGCTTCCTCAGGATCCTCCGCTCGCTCTTACCTGCAGCCAAACACACCAACGGGTTAGAGCTCCGCCTCCAGATGAGCAGGCAGGTCTTCGAGGCCTTGGGGTTCATAGAGCTCTTTGAGTTTTCAGCTTCACATGATGAACCTACGCCTCACCTGTTCTGCTGCAGATGTCCCTGACGTGTCCGTCCCTCTGCTGCGTCAGACTCGTCCTCAGACTCTTCAGGTCCTCCATCTCCGACTGCAGCGCCTCAATCTCGTGTCGAGCCTCGAACACAGAAAAGCACAGAAAACGTCAGGCTCGTCTTCATCAGCGGAGCGTCGACAGCCCCTCCCCTCTGCGTTTAAATCGCAGTGATCAGCGAGAAATTGAAGGAAACCCGGGAGGTTCCTGATCAGAGGAGGAGGAGCTAAGAGCGCTTCTGATGATTTACAGGTGTTTCCTGGTTACCTGCTCCAGCAGTAGCTCCTGAGGAGAGTCTGAGCTGCTCGTGGCCGATCTGAGAGCCGCGAGGAGGGCAGAGCCGGCGCGAGGAGCTGTCACCTCCTTCAGCCTGAAAACATGAAGAGACACTTTAAACACGGGCCCACTAACCTACAGTTCCTTTGACCTCCACCAGGTGAGCAGTTACAACTTCCACCACCGTGGGGCAGCGTCCTCACAGTGGTTGTTGTTTCATATTTGGTTTTAGCCCCGCCCCCTTTTTCTCTGCTGTAGTTCTTTTTGGAGTCAGGTGACTCCCGGAGAGCGGAGGGAAGGTTCTTACTCTGAGCTCCTCCTCTTCCTCGCCAGCCAACTGTTCACTCCCACCGTCTCAGTGGCAACGCCCCAACCTTCATCATCTTCTTGCTCCACCTGGCACAAACACAGACGCCTTGGGTGAGGCATGGCCGGACGGGCTTCAAGTTCAACCGATCAATAATCAAAGCTCTTTGTAAGCACAGTCTGACAGTTAATCCCACCTGACGCTTGTTTTTGAAATCTTCATTCGTTTCCTCATCTTCATTTTAAATCTCATCAAACTCTTTAAACTTCATTCTGAACTTTTCTTTACCTGATCAGGGTCACATTTAATCCCAGGGTTTTTAATCCTAGTCTCACTTCCTGCTACTTCTTGCTTTTTCATATAAATTAAGTTCGCTTCTCTCACTCTCCTCATCTCCGTTTTCCCATAAATTATTCCCTGTAAAGCTGTGCTTTTATTTTGAAAAAATAAACACTTAGGGAGCTTCCTGTGGTCAGAGTGAGTTAAAGATGAATTTCCATGATGGTTTCTTACATCGCTGTCCGTGACAACCACTCGTTCTTCATCTGATGAGATAACTGTCGGCTCATCCAAAAGTTCTGGCGCCGCCGCCATCACTGCTGCTGTTGGCTTGATCGGATCTAAATAAGAAGCAGACACACGAGTCAGAGACGCGTCTTCAAACAGGAAGTCATCGCATGCCTGTCTCGCAGTTTGTCAGTAGAGTTTAAAAAACACGCGCTGGAGGCGACGTCCGCCTGCTCGCTGTCAGAAACGCTCCGGGACGATCAGAGAACTGAACGACTACTCGCCAGAGTATAGAGCAGCTTTACGGTTCACCGAGCCACAGATTCATCACTGCCATCATCACCGTCGGCATCATCACAGCATTGTTGCGTCAGCTTCCTGACTGTGTCAGAGGCGTCCTGTAGCGCCGCCCTGAGGACCCGTCTGACACCTGAATAAATAAACACTTTGATAAACACGATGCTAAATCTGTCACGTGGTCGTGTTAACCGCAGTTTTATTGATCGTGTGGATTTTACAGGTGAGAGAGCGCACACTGTCAGCATCACATCCTTCGTCAGTCATTAGGCGACGCCCCCAGCAACTTCCAAGTCCAGCGGCTGTCAGCTGACCTCTGGCGCACATTGCTGATGGGGCGTACTAAACTATTCATTCATTATCGGGACGCAGCGGTTGATTAATCTTCACATGATTGGCTGTAGAGCACGTCCTGGTCACGCCCCCTAAGCTGTATAGTTCCTGCGTGAACATGACATCGCTCTGTCTCGTCTCCTGCTCGGTGCTGACGTTCCCAATAACCAGGCCACTGTTAGGGTCACATGACCCACCTGAGTCTTTCTGCCTCTCACCTGCTGACGGCGCGACGCTCCACAGGTACTCATCCCGCCTCCTCCTCAGCCTCCTCTTCTTCCTCTTCAGCTGTGACTCCTTCCTCCTCAGCTCCTGGATCACCTCCACCGCCTGCAAGCAGACAGCACCACTCGTTACCCTCCAACCCACCTATCCACCGACCAATCAGAAGCGTTCATTTACTGACCGTCTTCAGCGTCGAGACCTTTGACGTCTTCTCCCCCGACTGTCCCACCGTCCTCCTCAGACGCTCCAACAGCTCACGCAGCCGCACCCGACGCAGCCGCTCCAACGCCGTGTGGAGGAGGCGCTGCAGTACACACACGCAGACACATCTGTGAGCAGGAAGTGTGTGAGATCTTCTTCATGTGTGTGTGTATTTCCTTTTCGCCTTCCTACCGTGTTGTTGGCGAGCGGCGCCCTCTCATCGTCGCTCTCTGACTCTCTGAAGTCTGACGAGTTTTCCGTCTCACTGCTTGACGTCACCTCTAACGACTGTGTCTCCGTGGTAACATGTGGCTTCTCATCCACGCAGATGATGTCCAGCTCCACTGGGTCCTGAGCCGCCTCAGGTTGAGGACCTGGCGGTGGCGCAGGCATGACCTTCAACCCTAACGAAAGCGGGGATGTGGGATTGCCCTCTGAGGGTATCTGGATGGTGGGCGAGATTTGAGGTGGTGTACATTTGAAGATCAGCCCCCCTGCTCCCGTGGCGACCACAGATGCCGTTGCGCCTTCGACACCCTTCTCGGCGCCATGAGGCACGGGGGCTTTGAGCGACAGGAGCTTCACTGGGGTCATGGGGGGGTTGGAGGGGTGTGTCTGCAGCAGGGTGAAGGAGCCTGGCACCGTTAGCACCTTGGTCGGGGTCTTGGGCGGAGCTTTGGCACAAGTGACGATGATGGGGTCCAGGCTGGAGTCGGCAGGGAGGATCTTAAAGGTACAGGTGCCCTTCTGAGACAGGAAGCCAGAGCTCAGGGACGGCGAGGAGGGCAGAGGCGGAGCCTGGGGACTGACTGTGTGGGCCACAGGGGAGAGGAGCGAGGAGGAGGAAGGACCTGCAGGGACAGAATCACAATCAAGATTTTAGTTTAACCTCAGATACGCCCCGCCCATCCCCAAGGTCTGCAGACTCACCTGTCTGTGCAGGCGAAGTGGGCATGACTGCCCTCAGCTGGCTGACGGGGACCAGCTTGACCAGTTTCCCGTCGGGTCGGCGGTAAAACTGGACGCCGGAAACCATCTGGACCGGCTTCAGGAGCATCCTCTGAGACCCGGGGGCGGGGCCCGGAGGACGAGGGGCCACGACAGGAACCGTCCCAGGAGGAGGCGGGACCTTAATCAGCACTACCTGAGGGGCTTTAGGGGTCGCTGTGCCTGGAGATGGATTAACAGGTGGTGCTGGCGAGCTGCTGGACAGAGACTCTGAGCACAGACGGATTCATCAATACTTTATTGATCGATCAGGCAGAAACAGAGATTATTTATTGATCAAAGGCAGACTATCACACGGAAACGCTCACCTGTGATGGAGGTCAGGAGGGTGAGCGGTGGGACCGCTCCAGGTGGGGTCACAGAAGAGGAAGCAGTGGTGGTGACAGTGGGAGAGGCTGTAGTGGCCGCTGCGCTTGTGGTGGTCACAGCGAGGTCAGAGACCACAGAGGAAGCTGAGGAGACGTCAAGAGGCGTCGGCCCCGACCTCCGAGCAGAGGTGGAGGAGGGGGGTCGCAGAGATGGCTGCTGCTGACGGGATGAGCTCACCCGTCCCGTCAGGTAGGCCGCCAGCCGGTTGGCCGGGTGGAGCGCCCCCATCCTCCCCAGCTGGATCTTAGCCAGCGGGTAGAGCTTCCCGTTCACCTGCAGGACGACACGGAGGGAGAGCCAGGTAAGTGGCGAGCGGCAGGTTAATCGTGATGCTGGTGACGCTCCGCCCAGGTCACAGGTCAGCAAACACAGATAGAAATTAAGGGTGACATTGTGACGAGCGTGTGAAGAAGCTCAGCTCATTCTTTTTTCCCCACCTGTCCCGTTTGGCTCTTTTGCATCAGAATTTTTGTCTAAAGGCGAATAAAGATGCCCAACAGATTTACTTTACCAGATGGACCATCCCAGCTTTGCCGTAATGGTCCATTTGATTCACCTTTTATTGTTTATTTTATTTATTTTCACTTGCTAAATGTGAGACAGACTTGACTGGGGAAAAGAAAGAAAAACAGCGGGGCAGAGGGACGGGGATAAAGGGCAAAAAACAAAAACAAACAAAACAAACACAAAATACATCTATGAATCACCTGGATCACCTGTTGAGAAAGAGAAAAGAGAAAACAAGCAGAAGAAAACGAGAGTAATACCATAAACAACATCACAATGATCTATGTGAATGTAACAGTAAATACTAAATATTAAACATTATTTTGCAGCACATAAGATCGACAGCGCACAGTGTGCTTTGAGGTAGGAGCCAAAAAGGGTGTAGTTTGTGTGTGTGAGCACCCGTGTGTACACCTGTGAGCATGGACGCGCTCGTTTTTAAAAGGTTCCTTCATGTAATGACCTGCTAGAGGGTGTGGGGGGGCCACAGCCCCGTCCTCCAGGGCATGAAACAGGTATGGAGGAGATCAAGACTCCAGACATCCAGAGGACCCCAGAACACAAGAGACCAAGGAAGACCAACAGAGGGGCAGCCGCGCCACTGTTCCAGAAAGAGCTGAGGAGAGTGCCAGATGAGGGGCTCAGCTCATTCTTACCTTGATTGGCTGGTCCGTTCCTCCCGGCGCTTTCCTATTGGCTGAGAGGAAGCCGGCAGGCGAGATTCCCGTCAGGAAAGGCAGAGCCATGTTGACCTTCGCCTCTGACGTCACTTCCTGTCCACTGCTCTCTGTCCAATCGTCCACCTGTTGATCCGTGAAGCCATCCTCCTCTGTGATGTCATCTTCCTCCACCTCCCTCTGCCAGTCCTCCACAGGCTCCGCCTCCTGCATTCTGTGCTCCTTCTTCATGTTACGTTCCTTCAGAGGCTCCACCTTCCTGCCCACCCATGCTGCATCCACCTGAAAGACATGAGGTGTAATCAACCATCACACGTCAAGCGAGTTTATCCCTGTGACACACGCGTAACCATGGTTACAGGCGTTGCGGTCATTTTCTGGATGACAGGAAATGGTGACCACATAAACTAAAGCTCATTTGTTTCACAGGTGAACGCAGCTGTGATTGGTGGAAACAGCCCAGCAGCTAACCAATCAGCTGGCAGGACTGTTTCTGAAACTCAGACTCAACCAATCAGAAACATTTCTACCACCTTTATGACTTATCAATGAAAATGCACCATTACAGAGGAGGCTGCGACGGCACCCACCTGTCTGCGCGGCGCTGTCGATTTCCTCGCCTTCAGCGCGGATCTGGATATCTTGACGTGGTACTGGATGCAGCGCTCGGCGCCGCTGCCTTCCACAGACTGGCCGGTGGGATGGATGAGGAAGTTCTTGATCCAGAACGGGCGGTCTAGCCGGTTCTGAGCCATCGCCTCGCACAGCTCCATCAGCACGAGGGTCCGGTCGGCCTCGCTCTTCCACTTAAAGTCGGCCCTGATGAACAGACGCTTCGACGGCTTCGGGGTCGGCTCAGCAGGAGGACTCGGAGGAGGCTCGGAGGGAGTCGGAGCCTGAAGGGCTTCACCTGCAGAGGAAACCTCCATGAAAGGACAGAAAACATGGCAGCAGGGGCTGATGGGAGAGCAGCAGCGTGAACGCACCTGCAGGAGGCTTAGAGGTCTTCTTCAGCTTCTTCACCTTGTGGGGCTTCGGCCGATCAGGTCGGACGGTGCCTTTGGTTGCCTCCCGGTGGACAGACGGTGTCGGTTTCACCTGGCAATGAATCAGGTAATGGCACAAATCACAGCAGAACAAACATTTACAGTAAGAGCCTCGTTCCCTCAGGAACTGCTGGCTTACCTTCTGTTTCCGGATCTTTCTGGAGTATCCTCGGACTCTGGCACAGCTGCGGTGATCTTCTCGGACCTTCTGGAAACAAAGAAACGAGTAGTTTGTGCAGCGGATACATGTGCAGAACGGCCTTTAAAGTGCTACGTCCATGTTTAAACAGGTCCTTACCGCAGGGCGGGTCTGTGGAGCCGCCTCAGGCATGCGTACCGGCTCTGGATCAGAGCGCCCGAGATCCCTCCTCCACAGAGTCCGGACCCGCTCGGCAGGCTGGGAGACGCTGTCCGCCTCCTTCAGAACTGCGACATGACCACGGGGTTATTATTTTTATCTATGCTTCTCTGACGCTTAAACCGTGAACCGCAGAGACTCACCGTAGGCCATCTTCATCCTCCTCTTCTTCTTGGTGCTCCCGTGGTGTGAGGAGGGGCTGGAGTCGGACCCGTCCAGGTTCTTGAGGAGGACCACCTTCTGTTTGAGGCAGCTGCAGCCGAACATGCACGCTGGCCGGCCGCAGTGGCTGATCCTGGAGTCGCGGGAGAGGCCGAGGCAGACGCAGCCCAGCCGGCAGAACTCGTTCAGACACGGCGGCGCTCGTCTGCGGCTCAGCTGGATCGGCGCCGTTGGGTTCTCGCTCACAAAACCCTGAAGAAGAACGTCAGACCTGTTTATTCTAAACGTGTGAAAATCTGCCCACTTCCTCATGAGTGTTTCGCATTCATTTTTTTCTTGCTTGTGTTGCACTGACATCTGTGCTTCCTGTTGATAGCAGCGTCACACAGTCAACACGTCTACTTTAGTTTTTGACCTTTAAATAAACGCAGATAACCCAGAGTTTGTTTTAGGCTCGGCACGAGAGCGCCGCACCACTGCTCACTAATCTGTAATTACTTTACCTGAGCGGTCTCTTGGACGTGTGCGCTGTGGTCACGCCGGCAGCGAATCATCCAGGTTACGGTTTATTAAAATAATCAAATTACAGCATTTATGTTAGACGACTTTTAATTAACTGCTTCAGCCCACTTACAATGAGAATGTAAAACAAAAATGTAGTCACTGACCTGTGTAGCATGTTAACACTATTGGAAGTAAAAATAACTTTAACTCCAATTTTGAAAACAACCTTTTTTTTGTATAAAGCTGACTGTATTATGAGTCTGTGGTCTGGGAGAGAGTCTGCAACTCTGTCTGCAAAATACAGTAAATAATGACCAATGTTGGGCAATTAATTATATGATGATTGATGATGAGATGAAGGAGAACAACAGCCTGATACCTGCAGGCCTGACAACAGCAGATGTATCACTGCTATAACACCTGTAACACAGGAGTCGCCTCATTGTTCTGACACACACAACAAAACTACTGACTACACTACACACTAACTACACACTAACTACACAAGACAACACACTAACTTTAGACCAAAACACGCTAAATGTCTCAAATCTCTCACATCTCAAACACGCTGTCACTCCTAAAACTTCCCCCTTCCTAAACTACTAAGTGCCATGTTGCCATATCATTTTTTGATTGGTCGACATGGTACATTTTTGCACCAATAGGAAACGGGAGGGTAGGAGGAGTTTGGGTTTTGTCTTTGCTCACAGGCTTTCGAGCGTTTTCCTTATAAAACGCCGTTTTTACCGTTTCTTCCCGCAGTAAATATAAACAACGACAGTATTCAGGAAGAAAACCAAACATTGCAGATATTTTTATTGTAACTCTGGTTTTACGTGGCCGATCAACACAATTTAAAAACTGGTATATACGAATGTGAATCGCATCATCGGCTGGACTTTGGGATAAGGTGGCATCGTTCTGATCCCATACGGGAGCAGCCAGACACTCACTGACTAACACTGAAGAACAGAATCGTTAACCTATTAATTTTAATTTCAATTCAGGTTAGATTTTTTTTCTGTGCGCAGACACCTGCCAGCTTAGAGGGAACATTGGTTGTAACCTTGTAATAGTGTCTAATTATCTTTAATAGTCCGTGATTATTAACAGTGTGTGGTTGTTATTACTGGTCTGTAATAAACACCTGTTAGTAGGGATGGGTACCGGTGTCTGGTGCCATCATGGCACCGGTTCTGACATAAACGGTAGTAACCAGACCGAAAAGCAGCGCACATTTCGGTGCTTTATTTCGGTGCTTTTTTCCTGAGCTGTGATACACTATTCTAGCCAATCATTTTACGTTTCCGAGGATAGTAGGCGGGGCCAGGTACGTACGTTCTTTTAGAGCAGAGCTACAGATTAAAAATGCCCAAGGCGAAGCGGTCAAAGTCTGGCTGTACTTCACAGCAAAAGATGCAAACTCAGCAGCAACAAGTGCTTTAAGCTGATACTGTGATACTGTCAAAGGAGGTAACACCTCAAATCTGATGAAACACCTGGCGACGCATAGCGGTTTTTTTTAAAAGCCGAGAAATGCGCCGTATTTGATAGCTTGCTGCGAGACCTCACACCGAGCACATCTACTGCGGGTGTGGTGCCTGTTATCGGACCCGGAGTTAGCAACATCCCCCAAAAACCCGAAGAGGAGAGTCCTGGCCCCTAGCCCTGCCAGTGTAGCAGAAATGATGAGGATGATGATGCAGCAGCAGCCGTTCTTCTCTGCGTGAGTAGCTTAATGTTGTTCGTGTGTAATTTACGTTGAGTAGGCTAACCACGTTATTACATTAATGCATGTAAGGTGAACTAGCAAACATCATCATAGCTACATGCGGCTGTCTTCTTGTTTGATGGCAGATACTCCCTTCACCCTGGCCAAAAAGGCTAAAATGACCAAAGAAAAAGTGGAAAACAGTTAAACATGAGAGGTTTTTGGACAAAGTTTGTGTTTTTTCCATTGTTTAAGCACTGCTTCCAGCCAAGAGTGATACCATATATGCCCCATAGCTGCAGAAAAGGCTAACATTGTTATCTTTTTACAAAAAAACCAGCTGAACATGAGAGGTTTTTGGACCAATTTTGTGTTCTCCATTCTTTAAGCACCGTTTGAGCACCGTTTGAGCACCGGCACCGTTTCAAAAGTACCGTTTGGCACCGGTATCGGATAAAACCTAAACGATACCCATCCCTACCTGTTAATTTGCCCTTCACATCATTTAAACTCACACAGCACAAAGTTCCTGCAGTATTTTTCAAAGAGAACATTAAAATGATCATTTATCACAAAAACAAACAGCTGTTTTACACTGAGCTGCACTTTCACCCCCACCCTCTAGGAGATGCTGCAGCCAATGAATGCTCACCGTCTGAGTGAAGAGGGACGTGAGGGCGATGGTGGCCCTCTCCGTAGTGATGCTGGTCCGGCGCAGGCCTTCCCACACGGCACCGTCTTCCAGGACCTTCTGTTTTTGCAGAGCACGGGTCATCGGCTGGCGCCGACTCCTGCCGCTGTCCTCGCTCTGCCCGCCCCCCAGCTCAGAGTCCGACTCCAGCGGGGCCAGGTCCCTGGACATAACCGATGGGGGCACTGTGGCCCTAGAGGGACTGAGGGTCTGAGATGAGGTCCTGGGTTTGAGCCTCCTCCGCCTCTTGATGGGGTTTGAATCTGGGCGTGATGGAGGCGCTGAGGGGGCGTGGCCCACAGGCTGCTGAGGTTCCAGTTGACTGGGTTCAGGACCCAGAGCAGCTGCAGGTTCTGGTCTGAGTTTGCTCTGTTTAGAACCTTTCTGCTTCCTCTCACCCCTCCGGCCTGGTTTAGGCTCTTTGAAGCGGGGCCTCTTGGAGGGGGGAATGAACCCAGATATGAGGTCAGAGGAGGAAGGGTCGGCGGTCTGCTTCTTCAGGACGTGGTCCAGGGTCCGGACGTAGCTGGTACTCCTGGTGGGCAGCTCGTACACCAGCGGCTCCACTGGCGGCTGGGAGAAGCTGGCGGCACGCTCGTCGATCAGCTTCCCCTCACTCTCCAGATACTCGTCCAGCATATCGCTGCAGAACGCCGACAGGTTCTTCTTCTGCGGCTCTGAACTCGAACCGGCTGCAGGATTCAACACAAACCAGTTAGACCAGCACACGGCCCAGCACGGCCGGAGCCGAGCTGAAAAACAACAAAACTATAACCAGCTGTGAGCGCATGGCGTAGAAAAGCACCTTCAGGTCTGCAGGCTGAAGGTGTGGGTGGAGTCTCAGACAACGTGAACTTCGCTCTCCAACCTTTAATCTGAGTGACGTCTGTGGTTTTTCCTGTTCGGGACACAAATGCAGCAGAAACACCTGAAACAGAAGAGAACACAGGCGGAGCTGTTACCTGTACACGGACTCGCAGGTGTTCTGCTCAGGCTGGGTGTTCAGGCACAGGTGAGTCCAGGTGAGTCAGGACACTTTGCTTGTTCGTACTCATGCTCACCTTGAGACGTTGACAGCGGCTCCATGCTGGCGCCCGGCAGGGGGAAGGGCAGGCGGACTCCCAGGTACTGTAGGTCAATGGCCAGAGACGGGTCCAGCAGGTTCATCTTCAGACCGACTTTCACAGAGAAGAACAAAAGCAGTCAGAGACAGAACAGAGAGCTTCTACCTGCTGCCTGCAAACAGGAACCAGGGGATCGTACCTTCCTGCAGCACAGGGTGGATGACCTGCCTGTGCTTCATGAGCTTCAAGTCTCTCAGCAGAATCTTCTGGAAGGAAGCGATCATCTCTGCCAGACTCTCCGTTTTGGGTTTGGATGGGTTTAAGTCGGAGCTTTGTTCATCGCTTATGTCCAACCGGTCACCGCCCTCAGGTGAGTCTGCAGTTCTTTGACCGTCAGGTGTGGGCCGTGGAGCCGGCCTGTCGGAGGAGTCGGCCAGGTGGAGCTTAAGAGCCTCCTGAAACAGGGGCTGTGTGTTAACCCTTAGTATGCATGCTGTATTATGGTGGTTTATGATCAGTTATCTATCCAACGTTACCTTTGAAGTGAAAGAGATGAATAACTGCTCCTCCACTTCCTCCAGGTTCGGCTGCATGCTCCTGTAGGTGGAGTCGTTCACCTCCTGCTCCACCTCGCTCTTGCCAAGCCTTCGCTGCCGAACCTCCTTCTTCTTTCGCTTGCAGGGTTTTCTGGCTGGGAGCGGATGGACCTGCTGAGAAGGTTCATGTGTTTCTGTCACAGGTAAGCAGGGAACAGCCGCCGCCTCAGTGTTCGAAAACTCCACCCCCATCCCGAGGTCGACGTCATTGGACAAAAACTGCACGAGGTCAGCGAGTGAAGGCGTGGGAGAGAGTCCGTCGCCGTCTATTGACGAGAAGGTTGGCGACAGAGGCAGTTGAAGGGCGAGTGGGGATAGCTCTGCGGGGAAGGGCAGCGACTGTTCGCTCTCTGGGAAAGATGCCGGAGGATCAGGAGCAGGCATGGAGGTGTTTGGACTCTGTGGTTCAGGGTCCTCAGGTAAAGTCTGCGGTGGAGGCTGAAATGTTGTGAATGACGTGTCTACGAAGGACTCGGGTGGAGGTAACACTGTATGCCATTTAAACACAGACGGGTCTTCGGTGTCCTGCGAGTCTTCAGGAGGTCCTGCTGCATCACATGCTTCAGAGGCCGCAGAGTCGAGCTCTAAAGCGATCGAGGCCGGCAGGTGAGGTAAAGGTTCTGGAGAACTCGCAGGAGACATCGGCTCATAGCCGAAGGACGAACACTCTGGGTCAGGAAGCGAAGACCTCAGGGTGGGGGAGTCTAAAGGTGGTGTCGATGATTCAGGTGGTGTTTGTGGTGAGTTCGGGGAACATAACACTGTGTGGAGGGGCGGGGGGGCAGTAGGAGGCAGTGAAGAGGTAGTAAGAGACGCCCCGAGGGAGCAGAATGGCTGGTTTAAGCCGGGTAACACTTGGGTACTGTCAGGGCCTCTCGGCTCTGGGCCCGGGCTTTCGGAAACGCGAGCCGAGCGGTCGTCAGTTCTTGGACCCAGCAGATGTGCAGCAGCAGCTGGACCGGGCTGCTGAGGAGACACTGTTTGTCCAGAGACATTAAAAACCATGTCAGCTAGAGGATCTGTACATCCGGAGGTCGTGAGGTCGGGCTTCAGGCTGCCGAGATCCTTGGAGGGATATGCTGCACCGGTGGTACCTTCCCAAAGCGGATGTGCAAAAGAAGCAGCAGAACTGGCCAATACGGACAGGCGCTCAGGAGGAGCTGCCGGGGCCAGAGAGTCCGGTTTGTTCTTTGTCTTTTTAGAGTGCTGCCTCAGAAAGAGAGCGAGCGCTGGCAGAGGCAGCCGAGCCGGCCGCTTGTGCTGCTTTGTGGCTGTCTCTGTTGTAGCGTCTGGGTTAGGTCGGTGCTCCAAGTCCTCAGAGGAGTTCTGGGATACTTCTGGAGCAGCACGACCAGGACCACCCCTCCCAACACCATCGTTACAGTTTAGTGAATTCAGCGACTGCCCGTCGTCCTTAATGGTCCCTCTTATTTCACATTTCCTTGGAGGTGCTTTAACACATGTACTGTCTTTAAGGGCTTCTCGTCCTTTAGCTTTTACACTCGAGTTCTTAGTGTTGGTTTGCTCTGCTCTGAGAGAGGCGCTGTGATTGATGCCGAGCTGCTCCAGGTTGCATCTCTGCAGTGAAACGTGAGCTTCACGAATCAGCTCCGAGAACAACTTCTGAGCTGGACGTGAGACGCTGCTGAGGCAAAGCAAACGAAAACATTGGATTAGTGACATCGGTGTTATTTATGAGGTCAATCAAAACCTGCAGCATTAAACTCGTTGAGAGGACTGTTTACAATCAAGCTTCATACATGGAGCTAAAATTAGCCCGTTTCCTCCTGTGCAAAGGGGTTTGGGATCTCTGATTCTCTGTGATGTTGTATTTGTCTAACTTTAAAAAAAAATAAATCAAGTAAAGGCTTCGAAGCACTGTTTCTTCTTTTTTTAAGCATTTAAAAATCCCTTAATAATCTTATTTTCATGGTTTTATTCGCTTTTACTCATGCAGAACGGTTCTCCAGGGAATAGAAGAACCGCAAACTGACCCGCCACCACAGCCTTTATGATTCTCCTGCAGTGTAACGATGTCACAAACATCTCCTCCAACTTCAGTTTTGAATGCACCAAACAACCACCATCATGGAGGCTGTGACACGTCTGATTTGCCGTTAACCGCTATGTTAGCTGATTGGCTGATGGTGAAGAGGAGAACTCGACATCAAGAGGACAGAACCTGCCAGGTAGTCTCTGAGTTCCTTGGCTGGAACACGGACAAAGGTGTGGTTAGCACCTGGTTGCAGACCTAGATCTACAACCAGGTCTGCAGGTCACACAGCAACTCAAGTTTGCAGATAAATGTTCAGTCATTTATCCAGGGGAAGAATTCCAGGGAGAGCTCGGTTCTAGATGTCCTAACAATCATTGCATTGAGTTTTTCCTTTCCAGTCACCTTTCTCACTCACTGTGTGTCAACAGGCCTCTCTGCATTGAATCATATCTGTTATTAATCTCTGTCTCTCTTCCACAGCATGTCTTTTATCCTGTCTTCCTTCTATCACCCCAACCAATCACAGCAGATGGCCCCGCCCCTCCCTGAGCCTGGTTCTGCCAGAGGTTTCTTCCTGTTCAAAGGGAGTTTTTCCTTTCCACTGTCGCCAAAGTGCTTGCTCATAGGGGGTCATGTGATTGTTGGGTTTTTGTCTGCATGTATTATTGTAGGATCTACTGTACAATATACAGCACCTTGAGGCGACTGCTGTTGTGATTTGGTGCTGTATAAATAAAATTGAATTGAATTAACAGATATTCAGTCATGTGTGACTGCTTCTATGATACCCACAGACTGCCAGGAGCAAAACAAACCAAAAACCATCCCATAATTCAGCAGCGTGAGATGGAAAAACGCTAAAGTACTGGGTGCGAACACCTGCTGGGCTTCACGAACCAGAGCTGAACATTTACAGCAAGTAACTGGGAGCATCACAGACTGCTTTGTGCTGTCGTTATGGAACAGATAAAAAATAAGTGTGTTCAAGGTAAGACACTAAAGATCAGGAAACTGTGTGTAACGCTTTCCTGAATATTCTGATGGACAATCAGAACAAGACGCCCTTGGTTCGGTGGGGAACCAAAGACCCTCAAAATTCAAACGTTGCCCCTAAACTGCTCCCATTGAAGAACTTTTACTTTCTAGTTTCTCTGGAACTCTGGCCCTTTTAGTTCTAAACAACTACAGCATCTCTCCACCAATTTAAAATCTCTGCAAACAGTTTTTCAGTTTTCAGCAGGAAGGTGGAGATCCATCAAACATTTATTCATGTCACCATCGATTTGTAGTTTGTGCATGAAACTAAAGCTTGATGTGTAGCTTACACAGGTGGCTGAGGTGGACAGCAGCAGTTGGGCTGGTGGTGGGTTTCTCAGAGGTAATCCACTCTCTCCACTACCTAACAGACCCACCCCAACTGCTGTGGCACACAGAGATATTTCTCTGGAGGTGCTCGTCAGTGGAAGAACGGTTACGACACACCGACGGTTAACATGAGCCTAAACACAGGAAGTCCGCTGGCTGACTGGAAACACGTCTTTCTTACACACCTGATACTCAGTACAGAGAAACTAAAGAATCAAAGTCTTACCCCAAAATCTGCCCGGGGGGCATGGCAGCAGGCGGATCTCTGTTTGTAGTGGAACTGTCTTTGAGGTCTCCGGGCACTGAAGGTTTGGACTCCACTGATTTGGAGGCTCGAGGTTTGTGGCTTGCCAGCAAAGACCTCAGGCTCTCCTTCACAGGAAACTGCTCAGCAAATCCTCCTTGTTTATGGAACGGATCCCCAGAGTTCGCTTTCAGTTTTCCTCCCCATGAACCAGACCCGTCCTCCTTCAGTCCCTTAGTGAACGGGTTGTAGTTGACCTTCAGCTGAACAAACCGAGCGTTCTGATAGGCTGTGACCGCCATGAATTCAGTCTGGGGGAATGAGAAGGTAATGACACCGGGATCACTCAGTTTTATGTCTTTAGCAGCTTTGTCTGTCTGGACCACGTGCAGTCGCGGTAGGTAGCGGTGCATCGGATGCAGAATAGTGTTCCCGTCTCGGTCTGAGATGTTGTTCGTGAGCTTCATCCTGTAAAAGGACACCGGACTCTGCATCCAGTGTTGGCCCGTCGCCGGGGACTCTAGATGAGCAAAAGGCTGACTCTTTGCATGCCGTGTTCCTTTACCATCAGCTTGCCAGTTCTTGCCGGTCCATCTATAGTGACTGTTGTCTAACGGCTGGACGTCCATCATCAGAGTGTACCTCCTGGATGGCTGCAGGCCGGAGATGCGGAAGCGGCAGTAGGGGAACATCCTGCTGCCTTGTTCGGTCAGAATCATCTCTGTTCCACATCTGAAGAACACGTTCCACATGCTGTGGTTCTCCAGGGTCACTGTGATGCCCCTGCAGGTGTTCTCCGGTGGCAGAGTGTCCGACTGAGGCTTTTCGCTGGCGGGATGTTTCTGCTCAGTGCCCCTCCTGACGGCCTGCTCCACCCCACCTTCGCTCGCCTTCCCGGGTTTCGGGGTGACGCACCATGACAAAGGGGGGCTGCTGGCAGCGGTTGCTGTTGCAGGGGTGGTCGCCCTTTCCTGATGGAACACCATGTTTTTCTGCTTCTTCTTAGAAGCCATGAACAGGTCCAACGAGGATCCTGGAGTTTATTCATCTGCACGACAGGTCAGGACAGCATCCTGAAAACAAGAAGCACAGAGTCAATAACAGCTGCACAAGATGCTCAAACTGAGTCCGGTGATGTGTTAAAACATCATCCGACGGTTTCGTTAATGCCCGAATTCTCCACACACAATTCTCCAGGATGCACCTGGATCACAAAGCTGAGCTGTGAGGACCGTGAGCCCTGGAGAGGATATCAAAGACCCCCTCACACAGACTTTAGCTCCTGAGGACCCGGCCTTCGCGGTCTACGTGGGCCCGGTCCTCAGAAGGTCGGGTAGGCCGGAAGTAAAGGGCTGTGAAATTGGACGGTCTAGGCTTCAGATTTGCGTCACCGCTGTCTCGGTGGAGTTTAATAAACTCGGCCGTCTGCTCCTTGCTGTCTAAAATATAACAGGACGCTGGAGTAAACTCGACCATCTCACACTCCTGTTTAATCCGTTTTCTGTTTGACGTTTATTCAACTGTGTGAAAACCAGAACTTAATCTCAGCCAAACAGATTTACTCAGGAACACATAAAACACTGAAAAAAGCCCAACAATAACATTTTTAAGTTATCTGAGTGACGTATATACAGTGTTGGGTAACTTACTTTTCAAAGAACTATGTTACTTCGTTACTTTCAAAGTAACTATGTTACTTCGTTACTTTGGTTTTACTCAGAATTCTACGGTGGCCCTGAGAGGCCAAACAGACTGCAACTTCAGGAAACACTTGCAAAACAGAAACGCTGCAAAAAGAAAAACGCTGCAAAAGCACACACAACACAACGGAAATGTTTCTGGGGAGACAATAACCGGACGGACCAGTTGCACAAACCAAAACATGTATGTATGGCTGTATCCCAATTCAGGGTCTGCAGCCTTAACAGTCCTCAAGGGCCGCGTACTTAAAGACCGCTGAGGCCGGAAGTGCGAGGCTTGTAGACTTGTGAAATGGGACGGTCTAGCCTCCGTTGCGCTGCCCAGGTTGCCTAGCAACCATGATACTAACAGCTGGAAACGTTTCATACAGCTTTGTTTGACAGAAATGAAGGAGAACAAAATGTTTTATTGTTCGTTCATGTTTTATGACATCACTTTGATTAGTTGAGTATCTGAGGCTGAGACCACAGGACTGTAAAACATGATTGTTGGGCTTCATTTCTGTGCTGAACAGTCATTTCAAGATTAGTTAGTAAATAACAATTAGCTAATGTTGTTCATGAGACTAAAATCATCTCACTGTGGTAATGTATATACAATATGGCCAATATTATAGTTATTGTCAGATTATTATGATAATAATAATAATGGATTGGATATATATATAGCGCTTTTCAAGGCACCCAAAGCGCTTTACAATGCCACTATTCATTCACTCTCACATTCACACACTGGTGGA